TACAAAAATTTAACAAAAAAAAAAAAAAAAAAAAAAAGCGAAAAAAAGAAAAAACACAAAACGAAACGAAAAATAGTGTCAATTGTTCTGGTGATTACTTGTCATTGCAATAAACCCATAAAAATGGAGAAACCCCTCGAAAAATAACGAATGTGTATATACATATACACATGCACACACACACACACACATGTCGCTCTGTATCGACAGCATTCTTATATTGAGAGAAAATATGTAATGTGAGCAATTGCATTAACCAACAGCAACAACAACAAAAATAAAAAGAATAGAGAAAAAGCGACTCTGTGCTAGCGCTACACATACCACAAAATGTTGAAATATATTCGATTACTTGGTTATAACGGATAAATGCGATGGTGTTGTTGTTGTTGTTGTTGGTATTGGTATTGGTATTGGTATTGGCATTGCGTTTTCGAATTGCTGATGGTGGGTTCAAAGGTATACTGTGCAATGACACTTGCCCGACGTGCGTGCATGTGTAGCTTTGTGTCTATTTGCTTGAGTATGTGCATAAAAAACAGACAAAAGAATTGTGATGATGCAGCAATTTTGTTTCAAACACAACAAAAATGAATATCCACACAACGTTGTACACTATACACATATATATATATATATATATATGTACGAAGTAATACACAACCGCATACATACGTTCGAACAATATTTGTCATAGTGATTCGATGGAAAAAAAATTATATGGTTTTCATCGTGGAACCCTTTTGCATTTTTCGTAAATCCTTCTTTCCTCTTTGTAACCCCTTACATAATTAGTAGGGCGAAAATTAAAAAAAAAAGAAGAAAAAATGCGAAGGGTTGATCAGTTAGATGCTAAGTCAAACGTTTAAAACATTCCAAGAATTGTTACTGGAGTCGTTGCACGTTTTCCAAGGATTCGAAAAATTCTCTATCGTAGAGTAACATTGCGATTATTGATTATAGTTATTGCGAACTTAGTCAGGCGAATGAAGACTGGATGAGTTTTAAGAAGAGCAATGGAATGGAATCAAACGGAAGAATATATTGTGACACTATTTGTAGTTAAAATTTTCATAAATTATAAGCAAATGTTGACTCAATACGTTTCGTTCCGGAAATTTCGATTTCAGTTATCTCCGATTGCAATTTCAGTTATAAAGAAATAGGCGACGCTCTGGTATAATAAACACTAGCCCCGTCTCAAGCTTGTCAAAGATGTTTGAAGATTTTAACGATGCATAGAGTGTCTTTAAGTCTAGTTCCTTTTTGAAAATGTAGAAGCCTGCCAAGTAGATACAAGATTATTAAGAATGTAAAAGCCTTTTGAGTAGATAGCAAGCTATTGAATAGACAGAAGACTATTCAATGGAGAGAAGTGTATTAAGCAAACAGAAGGCGATTAAGTAGATACAAGATTATTATTATAAAGTTAAAAGAAGACTATTGAGTAGAATATGAAATAGTGAAAGTAGATAGAATGCTATTAAACAAGAGAAAGCTATTAAGTAGATAGGTAACTATTAGGTTATTAACCTTATAGGATACTATTAAGTACATGAAGACTATTAACTAGAGAGAAAGTTATTAAGCAAAGATGAGGACACCATGCAGTATGAAGACTATTACGAAGTAGATAAAAAAATATTATTAACTTATTAAGTGTAGAGAAGACTATTAGGTTCCTAACCTTCTAGGAGACTATTAAGTACATAGAAGTCTGTTAACTAGAGAGAAAGCTATCACGCAGAGAAAAAACTCTTAAAGAAAGAGGAGGGCACTAAGTGGTAAAAAGATTATTATCAAGTGAATAGAAAGACATTACTAGGTTATTAAATAGAGAGAAGGTTATTAAGCAGGGAGACGAGTCTACAATAGATTAAAAAAAAGAAAAATAGGAAAAAGAGAGATTTTAATAGGGACAAGAACTAGAGACTAGACGAGAAAATAGAAATTTTCTAAACAGATGGAACGATAGGTAGAATACTATTTAACAACCCTGAGGTACTGAGTATAGAAGACTAGTAATAAGAGTGAACGCTAAATATTAATAGAAAAGACAAAATATGACTTTATTGCTTTCTTATTAACGAATGAAAATAATTTGCTTATATCCATATTTACCAAATAAAGAACCAACTCAACTATATTAAAGAGGTAGAAGACTTAATGACCCTTGGGTTAACGGAAAATAAATATGCTATTGTGGGTTTCTGCTGCGTTTAGCATTTATTTCCAGACGACAATGTCTTTGGTTAAGTGTAGTGACTGTTTTTGCCGCACTCTACACCGAACTTAAGCTGAAATGGCAATAAATGTCATCATACAACATTTTCTATAATTCAAATTATTATAATTGCCCTTGATAAAAAACAAGACTACAACAACCACAATAAAACCGCAAGGAAACAAATGAAAGGAAAAAAAATGTAAAGGAGGGCAGTGTTTGCTTTGGGAATACAACCCTCCAAAGCCTTTTTCTCCTGCTATAAGGCACATGTACATAAAAAAAGATACTGTAATTTGTTGCGAAAAAAAGCAAGCTGGGCGTAACGTTAAACAATAAATATAAAAATAAAAGTACATTACATAGATAAATGGCTACCTTAGGCTTTGTAATATAACAACATTCTCTTTAGTTTTTGAAACTTATACTTATCTACTGAAACGAGAGGTCTCAGATCTCAGATCTTCTGAATTGTTCTTGCGGTTCTTCAATTAAAAAATTCTTCTAGTAGCGGTCTGTGCCTGTGCATGAATATGTTGAAATTTATAGGATTTTGAGGAAGATACGTTGTACTCGTCCGGGTGGTGGAGGAAGAAAATTTTCTACCAAGAGTTGCGTCGCTGTTCTGTGATGTTACTAAGATGGTCGATCAAGAAAGAAATTCTTAGTCAGATGGCGGACCCTGTGATTTTATCGGCGTCGAACAATGTAAGTAACTATTGCTCTTTACTATGTACAACAAGTTCAAAGTAAATCTATCTAACAACAACTACAAATTAAATTGTTTGCATGTATTCCGTAAAGAAGAATCAATTTGTTAGTGCTTTTAAAATCAGTAGCCTTGTGAAACTTAGTTTGTATTATCAATGAAATAAAATTAAAACAGATGTGTTTTAACTAATGTTGCACAAGAATCATAAGTAAGAGTTTGCTTTAAGACGGTTAGGTAAAGTAAAATTAAACAACGTATATTTCGTTTTCAAAAATTGGTAATTACCGGTACTTCTATGAAAGAATGTGTTCTTATAAAGAAAACTTGAAGTGGTCTCCTCTCGCTGATAACTATTTAACTTCCACCGAATATGATGGGTGTTTAGAAATATCTTCCTCACGATGAACATAAACCTGTAAGCGTTAAATTTTCATCCAATTTTATCAGTCTTTCTATGTGGCTTTCTACGTAGTTGACTTTCATGTTAATTTTTTTATTTTTCTATTTACATTAGCAGCAGTTATTACATCTGTTATCGTTAACATTTTCGGTAATTTAGAAAATCTTAAATGGCTTTATTTTATTTCAGCATAAGGCAAGGAGTTCAATGCCATACATACAATATCAGCCGGCTGTATAACACTTCATGCGGATATGCGTGAGAATATTTGCTTAGAAAATTTTTCCTTTGCGAATAGTGAGAGGGAGAGAAAGAGAGAGAGAGAGAGCGAGAGAGACGAGAGAGTAAAATTTTCCTAATTTTAACGAGTAAATGTAAATTTCAATCGCTACAAATGTAGAGCATGCGCATGGCTTTAAAAAGAGAAATAGAGAGGGAGTTGTTGTGCACGTTCATTCACGTAAAGCAGAGAGTATCCTCTTACATGCCTATTGTACCCACATACAAGGGTTGGTTGTTTATAATCAGAGAAAATGAATGTTTTGATATCAAATATTTATAGTTTTCTACTTTTAGCAATTGTGAGTTTCTATCTTTGCCTTTCGGTTCCTTCTTTTTTTTTTTTGGATAAAACTCAGACAGATATATATATATATATATATATTCATATATTTATATGTAATTGTGAAAAAGAAAACAATTTCTATGAGCGGCGAGTAACGAGTAGTGAAGCGAATATTCCTTAATAAGAAATACAGATACAATCGAACAGTTTACTAGCGGTTATCGTGTGAAACGGATGCATAATAACGGTCGTTAACGTGGTCGTCTTCGTCGTCATTGCATTTTCAAAGAAAAATTTCCCATAAGTAAATGAAGGCGTGTTTTAAACATAAACACCATGATAAGTTCTAATATGAATTTACTACAAATAATATTAATAGTTTAATTAAGAAAAACCAAAAAACAAAAAAAAAAAAACAATGATAAAATCAATAATTAATAAGATAAACATATAGCAGACACGAAATTTTTTTGGTGAAAAAGGAAAAAATTTAAACATAAAGTAAGAGAAAAACTTGAGCTAAGCGTAATAAAAAAAAAAGGGAAGCAATTTTTCAATATCCGTTGGGAGACAACAACAGCAGCAAAGTGTAGTAAAAAAAAAAAAAAATAAACTCCCCATATCTTACTCTGTAGGAGTAGAGGAAAAAGAAGCAAAAATTTTTGGGTGACTTTTGCTTTATATGTTTTTGGCGTCAACGTGATGCTGTGTGCTCAACTCACTGTGCTGTATTTTCAGCTTTCGTTGTCATGTTATTGTTGTTGTTGTTGTTGTTTGCCATTTGCTTTACTATTACGAAAGTGAGTCAGCGTGTATTTATTGGCGCAGCAGAGCACTATAGTAATATTGGACTCCCTACTCAGGGAAACGGTTATATGGAATCACCAATTATAATATGAAACACTGATGATAGCAGAATTGTAATAACACCGATTTTACGCGTAAAACGACGAATCGTATAAATGGGTAAAAGTGGAAAATTTAAGCCAAAATAAGCAAAAGTGGACAAAAAAATTTCACCAAAGAAATGTTTACATGAACACAAAAGTTATCGATTACAAACAAAATAAATAAAATATATATACATATACATATATATATAAAGAAAAAAAAGGTAAATAAACGAATAACATATCAACACAACGTGAGTGAGTGAGTGGATACGAAAGTGTCATACAATAGCTTACACATATACTCACGCACAACAAACAAATAAATAAACACACGCGCTTGAGTATTCAATTTACAAAACCGCTCTCGAGATTTAATGGAAAAACTTGTTTAAAAAAGCATTTATATGTTTGTGTGCGCGCGTGTCGAATTTTATGACGGCGAGGTTTCGCTTTTCACATATAAAAAATAAACCAAACCAGATTGTTATTGTATTGCATTATACGGAGATGTATTCGTGTGTGTGTGTGTATGTGTTTGCGTATGTATGTGCATGAATGCGACTAGTAAGCCAGACTATTTTCGTATTTACTTTTAATGCAATTCAAGGAAAAAAAGGAAAAATTTTATAAAATGAAGAATAAATTAATCAACATATAATTAAAATGATGGCAAACAAAATCAATTCTTTTATATTTAATATCATTAACGATTTTAAATTGTTTTAACAATTGTTCAGCAAAAATGCTTCAATATCGACAACAACTCAACACAATAAACAACTGCAGTCGTCACCACACCAACTGTTTACTTGACAAATAAAAATATTTCTCGAAAGAGTTGCGTTGTAACGTTTACTGTCAACGCATTATTTTGATTTAATTGTCACAAAAAAAAAAAAAAAAATCTGATCTGACATCTAATAAATGTATCGTCTATGAATTGGCTTTTACTACTCGCTTTTCTCTTCATCATGTGCACTGCACACATCGTCAAACTAGAAGTGAAATAATCAATTTAAAGAGAGTATCTTCGAAATAGTGCATCGCGTAAAAGAAAATAAGTGACAAAGCACAATTCGTGAATGATCAAGCGGCAAATGAAGACGCGTTCTCTTGCAGTATTTCGCCAATTTACTTTTAATTTCCTCCAACTATAACAAACTATCCTATCAGGTAAGACTTCTTGAATTGCGTTTTAAAGCAAAAGATATCTAATTAGTTGATAAATTTTCGTAGTTTCAAACCGGTCACTGTCGAACAATAGTAATGAAAGGATTTTAAAAGCCCAGATATATTTCTGCTCGTCAAAAGACTTTGATATCCCACTGTCTGCCTCTCTGCTTCTTCTAGCAAAAGCTAAAATGAAAATTGTACAAATTTTAGTTAAACTTGAGGCACATACGCGAAAAACTAATGAATTTGCATCAATCCCTTTTTAAAAAAGTGCTTAGTAGTAGTGGTTCGTATACTGAGCCGCCCGTAGTTGCATACGCCGAAAGGCTAAGACTCGCCTATTTACCAAAAGTAAGTTCGAATGGACGAAACAAAGTTGAAGTGGACGGCGTTATGTTAGAGTCACACTAATACAAATCTTCCTCATAGAATATCCAGAAAAATCCAGATTTTGTTGCCATGCGAGAGCTTACACTTCAAGAGAATCCTTGCAAGAATAATTTAGGGACATATTAACAAAAGCATTGTCTAACAAATTTCACCAAAAAAAAAAACAGGGGCAAAAAAACAAATTGAAACGTGTTGCTCTTGGAAAGAATCGTCTAATGTTCCCATCAAAATTTTCCGTAATTATTCGGATTTATTTAGTAAGCGCTAAAGTGCAAATCTTTTAATTTTTGCGGAGAAACATTGGCAAATAAGTACGCTTCACTGGGGTCGAAATCTTTTATACCCACCAACTTTTTCTTAAGAGTGTGACTCGTGGCTGGTTTCTATATTTTTTGTACACATACTGTAGGATCACTCATAGAATATTTCTATCGCTATATTTATTATAGCTTATGAGTATTTTTTTACATTTGAAAGAAGAGTGCGGTCTCAATTTACATTGTATTGTGAGCGTGTCCTTCGACCGCTTTAACCATTTTCTATATAACGCTGCTACGAAGATCTTGCAATCTTTATACCATATTTCACATAAATTACATTCACTCATTTATTAGCAGAGGGTATTCTTAAATTGAATGCAATTATATACAGTCTCCGGTAAATGAATATACGGATCAGCATTGGTTACGGGCAACATTTTACAATAATCAAGATCCGTGTTGTAAAGTTAGAAGAACTAGAATACTTTCTTTATCTTCCCTTCGGATAGATAGTCAAAAATAAATAACTATATGTAATCGCAAACGGAAACATACGCAATAGTTTCGTGCCTGCTTAAGGCAGTAAGAAGCTTTACCATTATTCACCGACTCAACCAACATCAACGATTTCAATGATTTCTATAGAGAATTGAAAACTTGCGTTCTTAGCAAAATTTAAAAAGAACATGAAAGGATTTACTTACTTGAAGGCGATTTGGTAACAAAGGCGGAGAAAAAAGCAAAACAAACCCGACATGAAATCTATATACATACGTGTTACATATAAAATGAAGTGTTAATGCACAAAAACCAGCTGAAAGATATCAGGCTGTAAACGAAACTTTAACATCATAAACACCTTAAGCAAAGAAAAAAAAAAAAGAAAAAGAATTTCGATATTTTGTCATATTGTGGGGTCATTACTGATTTTTTTTTTTTTTTATAGGTGCTCTGGGATTGCCTATACTTATGGGCCCACCGTAAATTATGCACCGAAAGTTTTTACGTTGTATTTATTGCAGTGTAGGTGTACTTAGCGCAAGGAGTAGTTGCTTTAACAAAGGCGGCGTTTTCACCTTTTCTCATCGTCTTTGATTAATTTCGCTCATTTTCAATACCAGTCCTTTTAATGATTTTGGCAAAATTGAAATCTTTTTATATGCGACTCAGAGATCGCTTACCAGCAACGTAGCACAGAGCCACACATGGGCAGATAGACCCAGACTACACTGCACTTTATTGAGCCTCTGAAGCTTTCTTCCGACTTTTGCAAACGTTTTGACAAAGTGAATATACTCGTATTCTTCGATAGTGGGTATAAGATGTGGGTGGAAGATATTTAAAGAGGAACACTAACAGCAACAGCAAACGGTTTTCTTAAATCTTACCGTATAAGTAAAATTTAGAGTTGCTTCGCTTCCCCTAAGCCGCAATTTTTGCTTATCCAAGCACGTTTTGCTTTTAAGGCTTTCTATTTTCATATTCTTCCTCTGGCAAACAGGGAGAATAGTGTGGAAATTTTTTTTTTTTTTTTTTAGTTTACTTTAGTTTTCGAAATTATTCGACCTCTTTTTAGGAGCCGTTGAGTTATTGTGTTATTACAATGTTACGTAAACGCTCGAAAGTATAACTCGACGAGCTCTTGAACTTAATCAAACGAATTTATAAAATTTCATTATTTCATTAAATTTATGGGAATTTTTCTTTTTCACATTAAAGAAAACACATAAGGAAAAAATGCATAAAAACTTGTTAAACATGAAATGTAAAAAATGGCAATAGAAACATCCTTCATCAGGCTTGAATGCTTGCGCTTTTAACCAGAGAATGCTTAATAGCGTAAGAACAACAGCTTGCACTACTTCTTTGCGAAATAAGGAGAGAATGATTTCTAATGTGGTGCGAAAACAAGCTCTTTACATACATCTTAAGGTGTTGAATAAAATAGTTTAGACACTTCACACGAAGTACTGGCGTTGGTACGTTAGCCTTCGCAGACTAAATGTCGGCAACAAAGGCATTAAGACTAACAATGCATTCGTACACCGAGGAAAGTCGTAGTAAGAAAAAGGAAGTTCAACAAACCGCATTTAATATCGTTTAATGAAAATAAAAAAAAAAAAATTATTTAACTAAAGTTAAATATTAAATACGAAAAATATATTTAATGTCGCTTAAAGTTTTGATTTACTTCAATTTTAGTTTATTTTGTCATACAATTTTTCCTTTTTCCTTAAGTTGCTTTTTTAAAAACAACTGTGTGGTTGATTAATCTTCTTGGATACTCGTTTTTTTTTCGTCTTTTTTCTACTTCAGAGATCCTTGATGTTTCCGTAGACTTTTCCTATATTCGATAGCCAGGTCTTTGTCCTCAGATTACCCGTTGATGATTCCCTTGAAGGGCGAAAAAAATTACTTTGAAGGGTTGGAAATGTTACAAATGAGAAACTTACATTCGGACGTGACTGGATCTTTTATACCCAACACGTTTACCCCAAAAAAAAAATTTATAATAGAACAAGTAAAAAAAAATTAAATTCGATCGAGACCGAAAAAAGACAAAAGAACAAAATTCTCATGCTCTATAATATGGAGCGGGGGCAGTTGATTTCTTCTATTTTCAAAACAATGGCTTTTCTCGTAGAGGCATGTGGGCGTTGTAGGTGTGTCCTTTTCAAATTCTTTTGGAAATGTTTAGGCGATATCTTCACTTTCGCTAACAGAAGAATGTTTACCACAAATACTGCAAAGTTACGCAAACAGACAGATGGACAGATGGACAGACGAACAAGGTTTGTCACTGGCCAAGAATGTGTATACTTTATAGAGATTTTGAAGCTTGTGCGTGCACGTTATAAAAGTATTGAAAAAATAATTCAATTTTGGGTAGGCGTGGTCAATTTTTTCCATTTCTGTGCACAGATACTATAGCATCGCCCACAGAATATGCGTTCAAATTTTTGTATATATATTTGCTATAGTTTATGAGTAATGAGCAAGAAGTTAATTTTTCAGTCCCTTTGATAAACAGAGCTATTCCCAGTTTACGTGGTGCTATCAGCGTTTCCTTTAACCGATTTGGCCCATTTTCAATGCCAATATGCGTGCAAGAACTTGCAATGTCTCTGCGAAATTTGAAGGAGAATGTTTTCAATAGACATAACACAAATGGACAGACGGACATGATGGTCTCTGATGTTTCCTTCTGGGTGTTTTAAACGTATTGACACAATGAATATACCTCCTTCATCCTTCAGTAATGGGTACAGATCTTTCCTATGTATGGTGTTTGTGTTGTCCACCAAAGGCAAAGGTGTTCAGAACTTTTGTTGCTTAGGTGCTTGGGCGAATTTTTCAAGTTTATGTAGTTTCTTCTTATTTATTTAAATATTATATCTATACTGTCGTATTGATTCCATTGCGGGCACAGACCACTTTTATTTTTCTCATCTTACGCTAACTTGTTCGGTAATTTTTTATTTCACATATACGTCATACGCAGTTAACTGGTTAATAGTGACAAATTAAACGAACTTCATATTAAAAGAAATTTTAGTGTAAAATCTCTATCTATCTATCCGGATTAAGAGAAATGAAAATCTCTTTGAGTCATTTTGAACTTGAGATCTCCATATTTTTCCCTGTCAAGGTGAAGAAAAACCTTTTACGTTTGCATATTTGAAGATGTTTAAATGTATGTAAAGTCATCGTCGTCTATACTTAACATAAATTAATGTTTGTAGCTTCTCTTATGCAATAATATGCATATTTTTGCACATTTTTATACAAAGGAAAGCGAATTCGAATGTTTTTCAACACATTTCCCCAACTTGAGGTTTTTCTTTTCATTTTCAACTCTGAATATAAATAAATATCTAACAATAGTTGAAAAAATTGAATTGCTAATTTCACTGAGACTGTTAACCTACATTCCATCCCAAGAGAAGAAAAAAAAAAAAAAACCATTAACCTTTCGGAGAACTTTTAAGACACGACAGAAAATGAAGAAATTAAAATCAACTCGTATTCGACAATGGCAGCGATGTAAATGTTTGTTCTCATACAAAAAATGTATGCCAACAGCTTTGCAAGTTACATATAATATCGCGACTATTGTTAATGGAATTAAAAGAATGTAAATGAACGGCTTCGGACTACAATAGGTGCGCATATATACCATCAAAAGCGATCATTAAATGAGTGCAGCAGAGGTAACTAAAATATTTCCCGTTACCATCATAACGCTAATTTTTTGCTCGTAGAATTATGCCGACCAAAGAATGTAAATGGAAAAATAGCAGATGGATATGCCAGCCAACAAACGCAAAACGTGGTATAAACGAAGGATGC